ATACATACAAATAAGGGAAAGATTTAGCCTTTCAATTCCGCCCAACCCCAAATAGAAAGATAGGGAGACAAACTAATAAAGAAACTGTAAAACTAGTTAACTAGTCATTGGCATTTGGCATTTGGCACTCATTTACGGTGATAAGTCGGAAAATTGTCCATTACATATACTCCATATATGTATGTACATAAAAAAATTTAGAAATAATTGCCTCAATATCACTAATTAACTTTTCATTTATAAAAATATGACTTATTTTTCTTTTTCCTAAAATATGAGTTGGACTCTTCCCGTAACCCAACTCTCCTTCCCTAATTCCCAAATTCACAATTCATAGCCCTCCATCCATCGCAAACCCCCCATCTCCACGCCTCGCAAACTTCATCCATCGCAGCTCCCCAGCACCTTCGAATTCTCCATCACTCCTCGACCGCAAGCAGCATCCACCAACAACGAAGATCGAGGCGTCATCCGCCATGGCCGCCACCGCTGGTTAAGACTTCCTCGATGGCCGCCGCCGCCGGTTCAGGCTTCCTTGATGGCCGCCGCCACCGGTTCAGACTTCCTTGATGGCCGCCGCCGGTTCAGGCTTCCTTGATGGTCGCCACCGCCAGTTCAGGCTTCCTCGATGACCGCCGCCACTGGTTCAGTCATCATCGATGGTCATCTCCACTGCTAGATTCGCCGTCCTCAATAGATCTGCGGCGTCGGCTAGGGTAACCAGAGGCGGCGGCAGTTTCGTGGCCGCGACGGACTCGCGATTGTGTGGGAGCAGGGGTGTTTGCGACGGCTAGGGGTGGGGGTCGCGATTGTGCAAGATCTGGTCGGGGTTGGGGGTTGTTGTGAGGGGTGGGGATGCGGACTGGGGGCTGGGTGATGCAGGGGAGGGGGTTGGGGTTGGTGTATGTGAGGGATTGGGATAAACGGCCAGCGATGGCTGCAGGCAATGGTGGGAGGTGGTGGTTTCCGGCGGTGATGGAGTTGGGCGAGCAGTCACTATGGCCAGCCGGCGGGCAGTCAATGGGGTAGGTGGGTAGGCAATCACTGTGGCCGGTGGACGGCAGTCACTGTGGCCGGTGGATGGCAGTCACTGTGGCCGGAATCAGGTGTCAGTGTGTCACTATGGCCGGAGTCACTGTGGCCGGAGTCACTTTGACCGGAGTCACTGTGGCGGCGGAGTCACTGTGGCCGGAGTCGCGGCGGCGGCGGCGGTGATGGCGGTGGTGCTGGGTCGGCGGCCAGAAAGGTGCTGGTAGTAAATGGAATAAAAGGAATATTGAAATAATAAAAGGAATATTGAAATAATAAATGTATATTAAATAAAAGGAATAAATAACTTTTAGTCACATTTTTAGAAAAATTTAAAACAAGTCACTTTTTTATCATTTTCATTCATTTTAGTAATATTGGAATAAAAAGGCCAAAAATTTAAATAGTTGTATTTATGTACTAACTTCTTGATACCACCACAACAGCATAGTAAAAGACATCAAATGCATGACACAACCAGAAGAAGCTCACAAGTAACTAATTTTGTTCTCTGCAATGCAGATAAAAATTTGTCCTATGACTGAAATTCTAGTGAATGGGAAATCTAACTAGACCAATCAAAATTCTGAGTAAGAGATATAACTCAATTTGTGTAATTTAGAATGTATAACCACTTAAATATCTACACACAGTCATCTCTCTCAGTTCCTAGGAAAACTAAAAAATAAGTCAATACAGACTTATTTGTAAAATCCTAAAAATTAACTCATAACTTTGGCAACTATAAAACTTAGCAGCAAGAGCACACCGAACAATTAAATATAAACCGAGTAAATTGACAGAAGACAATCACAAACACAACTAGGACAACATGAATATGATTCAACTGAGTTCAGGTTACCATAGTAGTTTGTAGGGCATTAGTCCAGTATTTTAGTGGCCGGTTTGAACTTGAGAGCCATGAAAATTAACGTAATACCTAAAAATTATTTTGTTCAAACTACTATATGTAATCATTGCTTTAAGCTAACACAGAGGCGACAGATAAATGTTTCTTAAATGAAACACTAATTATGTGCAAGACTGTGATTTTGTTGTCCATACAAATCTTCTTGTTGGGTTTCTCTTTTAGTGAATGGGCTGAGTGCACATGAATTCGCATATCAATGCATGTCTTTGTGTAGATGCAGTGAGGAAGACGAGTTGCAGTTTTCTTGTTTGACCTCAACGGCAAAAGACCTTGTTGTCTTGATTCAAATAATACGAGGACAAGTAGCAATGAGATACCCCGCAAGTGGGGGGATTCAAAGATGTTACAATTCCTATATTCTTCCAAAGCAAGGAGAAACACTTGAAGAGAAGAAAGCTATGCTTATTGACATTAAGCTGGATATGTATACAAACGAAGATCATGAGGAACAACACCAAAAAGAGCTAACAATAAAACTCAGAAAAGACAATTGTTACCTTGTTGGATATTGTAGCCAAGGCCTCTGGAAGGAACTCAATGAGGAAGACAGATTGATAGAGAATGCAAGACTCCTCTCGTTCTCCGGAAACTACAACAATTTAGAGACAAAGTCGCATAAAACATTACTGGGACTCACACTAGGAAAACAAGCTCTCATCACTGCTGTGAACCATCTTCTTCAAAGTACAAATGAGAGACAAGTCTCTGCGGCTTTGATGGTTTTGATTGTAACCTTCCCGGAGTCTATCCGATTTCATACCATATTGCATCGCATTATAGAAGGTTATGAGCCCGGTTTACAAGTAACAAATGAAATGGCTTTGATGGTAAATGAATGGAGCAAGGGTTCAGGGCACTTACTTGACACTCACAATTATTCAAATGCTCCTTACGTCTTCCCTGGACTCCGTATACTAATCGACAAAGGTGAAGCTATTAAACATTTGGCAGTTCTGCTGAATGTTTCCGCAATGAAAAAAAATTAGAATAGTACTGCCTCATGTTCAATTATTAGTTAATGTAGTACGTAGTAGTAGATTGTGTTTAAGTTTATAAGTACTTAGTACTTGTTTGAAACTTGAACCTGGCTAATGTAGTAACGTAGATTCATCAACTTTTTCTCCATCGTTTTTTCTTTGGGGGCCTCCATCACTGCTGTGTACAGTTTGAGAGACGAATTATCACTTTGTGGAAATGATAGTGGTTATCTACTGCGTGTGATGGAAGGGTGCTCGAAAAAGTGCTACAAACTGAGGCCCTAACAAGTTGAGGCACTTTTTCTAGCATTCCATTTTGTCATGTTAAGCTGTTAGCGAATAAGCCTGCCTACACCTTAGCAAGAGCGACTTGTTCTTTGTCTGATTCCTATTCTTGGTTTTATTGTTAGAAATTTAGAATGTAGACTTGATTTTGGGCTTAGTTAATAATCCATGATTGTTGTAATGTATAATGCCCAAAATAATTAGGAGTATTCTAGAGAGAAATGTCTCTAGAATGTGAGATTTTTAAAGACATTTTAGAGAATAATTAGTAACAGAAAATTCTAGACAAGGAGAATTCTAGTTATTATAGCGCGCGTTGCGCGATAAGAAAATGCTCAATGTATTTATGAAGAATGAACATTAAGAGATATATGTGTGTGTATCGTTGTTTTGTACACGTGTTTGCGGTAAATTGCATACACAGATTAAATAAATTTACATATCTAGTCACCTTAGAGACGCCAAACTATGTATAACCATTTAGGATATACATATGCTATGTAAATCATCATATTGTCTGGATTTAAAAGCATAAAAGCATTCAATTTAATAACTAAAATAGGCTACAAAATATCAATACTTTAGGTATTCTGGTGCTCCCTATCTTCCTCTTTGTCCATTTCAAGTTTCCTCCAAACACCTCTTCCATACTTTGTCACACACTTGTTAATATTTGAAACATGGAACACAGGCAATTTGCAAATGGATAGATCCTCTTGCGATGTTGGCCTCACATTCTATTTTATACTACCTCCCTCCCATTAGAAAGTTTTCGTCCCCTATTCACATGATCAACTGAAATCATTTTAATCTTTTGCTTTATATATCAAATTTTTATCAAATTTACATTTTTTTATCAGGCTTTGTAGCGGTTTTAATGCATCTTGCTGGCCATTTATTTGATAAGTCTACAAATCTAAGAAAATTATACTCCCTCCGTTTCATTAGAAGGTTTCCACTTTTCTTTTGTGGATGTCCCATATAACATTTCCATTTTAGGAAACAATTAACAATCTTAAGTGACAAATTAATCATTAAATATTAAAAATAATACATTTATAATTTCACAGTTATAAATCTTATAATGCTTAAAGTGCCGCTTACTAAGCATACCAGCCTCTCATGTATTATTTGAGCGGCACTTTAAGCATTTTCAGTTTCCGAATTTACTCCCTGCCTTTACCCTATTGTTACCACCTACCCCCACCCAGCCCCTACTACCCGACCCCACCCCACCCCTATCCTATCCTATCCTACCCTACCTTACCCTTACCCTACCCTACCTACCTGACCCCGACCCCACTCCACCTGGCCCCTTACCACCCCACCCCAAACCCCTAGGCCCTTACCACCTACCCCAACCCTACCACATCGGCCCCACCCCGACCCTATAGGGGCTTAACATAACCCCTACACCCCTCCCACATCGGCCCAACCCCTATCCTATCCCTGCCCTACCTTACCTCGACCCCACCCCAACCAACCTAGGCCACTTACCACCTTACCCTAACCCCCTAACCCCCACCACATCGGCCCCACCTTGACCCCACCCCTATAATATCCTACCTTACTCGTACCCCTACCCTACCTTACCTCGACCCTACCCTACCTACCCCACCCCACCTGCCTCCTTACCACCCCAAACCCCTAGGGCCCCCAGCCCATACCCCCCACCACATCGGCCCCCGCCCCACCCTATCCTAACCCCAACCCCACCCTACCCCTTACCCTACCTACGCGGGTGTTAATAAACACTGTTTAGTAACCCATGAAGTAAACATGCCCTTAGTGTTACTTCTAAGTATTAAAATAGGTCAATGTTCTTGTATCATACAGACAGACTAGAGAGTCCAATTCCCACATAAGACCCCTACGTCGGAAGAGTGTCTTTTCTCTCCTACGGAGTAATATAGGGAGTAACTAACCAAAACATGCACATCAACTTGCTCGAAAATGGAATAATCAGAATAAGTAATACTCCTACAAATACAGCAATACACTGCCCAATTCCCAATACATAATATGTATCCTTCACAGCAGGATACCAATTAAAAGGGAACAAGGGATACTCTACCATCAACCCATCCGGTGCTTTTGCACCTTACCAAGTACATATCTGCCATCTTTATTCAATACAGCTTCCACACGCACGCCCCCGCTAATATCAAGGTTCTTTCTTTTCACAGTAAGTCCATAAGACCGTTGATGCAGCATCAACTGCAACAATATTTTCCATTATATGAAATTAGTAAGTAACTTGCACATAACCTTACCACCTCCCTCATCTAAAAACACAATTGTATTTGCGAGTCATTTACCGAATTATATCGCACCATATACTCTTTAGAGCCCTTTTCATATCCTGAAGCTATCAGCACATCCTCTGCAGCCTGAATATGTGATAGAACAATAACAACAATAGTAGCAGCAAAAAGCTTGAAGGATACATTGCAAAGTACCAAAGATGTTTATAAAGAATCATAAAAGCTCACTCACTTTTGTATCATTCACACTAGTAATGTAATAAATAAAGCTCTCCAACCCGTGATCATCAACATCCACACATGCAAGTATTGAACCCATGTCCTAAATCATTAGCAAAGTAATTCTTTATGTTAGTCTCTGATTAATTCAAAACGTTAAGCTGAGAAAAACAGTAGGAAAGAGAGACTTTCAGTTGTTGTTTTGTTTGGGGAATTCTAGGAGCCGGACTTTTGCTCGGGTCCAAGGCACAAGTAGGAGGAGGATCAAGCTTTGTAAACTCAGAAGATTCAGCAAGCATGGTTGAAGAATCCTCTGCCAGTCCAATCGACCGCCTCTTGGCATCTCGATTTTCTATAGCAGCAATTATAGGACTTCCACTCCTCTTCTCATGTGCAGAAAATTTGTGAGACGTTTCATTCTCCTAACAATACAATCATAATTTCAAAACATTTCAGGCTTTCAGCTTCAAGATAAGACGATAACTACTGGAATTAGCCATAGAGAACCGTATGTTGAAAAAGAAACTGTAAGATCTCAATTTAACAAATATAGTTCAGGAAATTTAGATTGATCATTGGAAAGCATGATAGAGTTCAAAAGGCTGACAAATTTATAAAAGAAACAGAGCTCTACAATCTAACCAGTTAGTGTTTACGAAATCTAACAAAAATGCTACAAAAATATTTAGACATTCTTGAGTAACCCACATTTTACGATTTGAAGTTCGGACATGTTAGGGAAAAAGAGTATTTAACACAAAATGTTATTCCAGCTCTCACATGCATACAACGACCTGATAGTTGACAAAATTAATAACATTAATTGCAATATTAAAATTTCAAATTTTTATTCATAAAATCATTGGTAAGAGTATTTGGTCCCCGCTCTGTTCCCATATGTGCAGTGGCGGAGCCAAAAATAACAAGTTCGAGGGGCCAAAGCTTAAGGGTATGTTTGGGAGTTGGATTTTGGAGGGGAGGGGAAGGTTGACAAGGGTTTATGACCCTTCCTTTCATGTTTGGGCGTTTAAAAAAATGGAGGGTGGTTTTGGAGGCTTTTGCTAGGAAGCACGGAAACGTCAATCAGGGTGCAGTTTCCGTCCCGGAAACGTTTCGGAAACGCGAAACGCCTGGAAACGCCCGGAAACGGCTGGGAAACGTCTGGATACGTTTCTGAGCTCTTGGGCTTTTGGGCCGGGTTGGGGAAACGTTTCGGAAACGGGATTTGAGGTGGGAAGACGCGTTTCTTGTATAGTAAAAAAAAAAGGGTCGACAATCATTCGCGTTTCTTGTTTTTTAAAAAATACCTTCGACGTTGCGACTTGCGTATCCTCTATCAGCAACACTGCAAGAGTACACCACTCAACGGGAAGAGTGTTATGGTTCCAGGGTGAAGCACCGAGAAAGCCAAGAAATTAGGAACTCAAAGAAAGATGAATTCGAATAGCAGGAGAGGATTTTAGGGAAGAAGAAGATGGATATTATTCAACATAACTGTTCGCATATACAATGGGCAAGCTATATACATGAGCTGAACTAATCTAACAAACTAACGGTGACACTAACAACCGCTAGGGCGTTATTCCTCTGCCAGCTCACCATTAGGTCCACTTCGACTTCATAATCCAGCTCGGCTTCCACGTAATGTAACAATGCTTCCTCCTCAAACACAGCTTGTCCTCAAGCTGTATTTATTGTTGCTGCAAACCCAGGAAACCTTTTAATAAAATCTTCATGCAATTCCCAAGTTGCATCTTCCTTCTCAGCATTTGACCATTGTATAAGCCAATAAACAGCGGCAGCATTCCTTCTTTTGGCTATCTTTCTATCCAATATAGCCACAGGTTCCCTTCTCAATTGTCCATTATCATCTATGTTAGGCAAGGAGCTGTTAATAGGAATAGGACCATGATGTTTTTTAAGCTGGGATATATGGAACACGGGATGCACTTTAGCATGGTCAGGTAACTGCAATCTGTACGCCACTGATCCCACTCTATCAACAATTGTGAAAGGGCCGAAATATCTTGGGGACAGCTTCATATTGGTTCTATAACTCACAGACTGCTGTCTGTAAGGTTGAAGCTTAACATATACCCACTCTCCAACTGCAAACTCCCTGTCACTTCTATGCTTGTCAGCCAAGTTCTTCATTCTGTCTTGGGCCCTTTTGATATGGAATTTCAACAAATTAATACATTCCTCTCTTGCCCGTAAACTCCTATCAACTGCCTCAACTGTAGAGTCTCCAGTAACATAGGGTATGTGGAGTGTAGGAGGCTGCCCATAAACCACTTCATAAGGGGTATTATGACTTGAAGAATGGTAATTAGTGTTGTACCACCATTCTGCCAAAGGTATCCAATTAGCCCACTCTTTAGGTTTTTCCCCAGTCATGCACCTTAAGTAAGTCTCCAAGCATTTGTTGACTGCTTCAGTCTGCCCATCAGACTGCGGATGGTATGCAGTGGACATATGCAGCTCCACCTGTAAGAGTTTGAATAACTCTTGCCAAAATCTGCTTACGAAAATCTTATCCCTGTCACTTACAATAGTCTTAGGGAGACCATGCAATTTAAAGATATTATCAAAGTAAGCTCTGGCCACCATGGAAGCTGTATAAGGGTGAGTAAGTAGTAGGAAATGAGCATACTTACTCAATCTATCCACCACCACTAAGATAGTATCTTTACCACAAGACTTAGGCAACCCTTCTATGAAGTCCATAGAGATATTGATCTAAATAGCCTCAGGAATAGGTAAAGGTTGAAGCAATCCTGCTGGAGCTTGAAGGATAGGTTTGCATTTCTGACATACATCACATTCTCTAATAGCCACCCTGATGTCCTTCTTCATTTTCTTCCAATAAAATAGGGCCTCCATTCTTTTATAAGTAGCCTGAGTTCCAGAATGTCCCCCTAAAGGTGAGGTATGCATGAGCTGAATAATTTCTTTCCTCAATTCCTCCTTGTGTCCCACCACCAATCTTCCTTTTCTCATCAACTTCCCATCCTGCCATGAAAATTTACTTTGAGTTAAAGATCCATTTTGTAAAGATTGAATCAGTTGCTGACTTTCCATGTTTTCCCAACTTTCTTTAATCTTCTGCAATAAGTCAGATTGGATCTCACTTACAATCAAACTCATGATTGTTCCACCATCAATTCTGGATAAGGAATCTGCTGCCATATTTTCTTTTCCTTTTCTGTAACACACTTCATAATCCATACCTAAAAGTTTAGGTAAGCATTTGCTCTGAAATGGGGTTGTAATTTTTTGATCCAATAAGTATTTCAGGCTAAAGTGATCAGTCTTAATAATGAAGTGGCTTCCAGCTAAGTACGCCTTCCATTTTTCCACAGCAAGGACAACTGCCAAAAGTTCTTTTTCATAAGTAGAAAGTGACCTGTTCTTCTCAGATAAGGCCTTGCTTAGATAAGCAATAGGATGTCCATCTTGAGACAAGACTGCCCCAATACCAAGGTCAGAAGCATCTGTTTCTACCGTGAAAGGCTTTTCAAAATCAGGTAAAGCCAGAACTGGTGCCTTGCACATGGCCTGTTTAAGTTTGTTAAATGCCATCTCAGCCTCCACACCCCATGAAAAAGCATTCTTTTTAAGCAAATTCGTTAAAGGTTTAGATAGCAGACCATACCCTTGTATGAATTTCCTGTAATAACCTGTCAATCCAAGAAATCCCCTCAACGCCTTCAAGTTTTTGGGATAAGGCCAATTCTGAATTGCTTGAATCTTCTTGGGGTCAGTAGCTACACCACTCTTTGAAATGATATGCCCAAGGTATTCAATTGTAGATACTCCAAAAGAACATTTACTACGTTTAGCAAAGAGGGTGTTATCCTTCAAAATGTTGAGGGTCTGCTGCAAATGAAGTGCATGTGAGCTAACCCCTGGGCTGTATATAAGGATGTCATCAAAAAACACCAGTATAAACTTCCTGAGATATGGTTTAAAAATGGAGTTCATAAGATTCTGAAAGGTGGATGGAGCATTTGTTAATCCAAAAGACATGACCAAGAACTCATAATGCCCTTCGTGAGTTCTAAATGCTGTTTTTTCAATGTCCTCTTCCTTCATTCTGATCTGCCAATAGCCTGACCTCAGGTCTATTTTGGAAAAAATGCAAGATCCTTTCAGCTCGTCCAGAAGTTCATCTATCACAGGAATGGGGAACTTATCCTTCACCGTGTGTTTATTCAGCTCTCTATAGTCTGCACAAAATCTCCAACTTCCATCTTTTTTTTTAATCATTACCACAGGTGAGGAATAAGGACTCTGACTATTTCTGATGATACCTGTATCCAACATCTCCTTTGTAATCTCTTCAATGGCAGTTTTTTGTATAATTGGATACCTATAAGGTCTGACATTAATAGGAGCAGTACCAGGTAGGAGGTGGATTTGATGATCCCATTCTCTATGGGGAGGCAGTTGCTTAGGTTCTTCAAACACATCTTGGAATTGTGTCAACACATCAGATATTTCCTTAGGCATGCAATCTTCAGAAGATGGTGTTATATCTTTAAAATCACTGTTCAGTTCCTGCACTTTCATAAGATACTGTCCCCCATATCTTTTACTTTCTTTATGCACTTCATGGCACAATTCTTCTCCATTAATCCACAACATGCTACCCTTTTTACTTCCCCTTAATACCACTCTTTTTCCCATATACTGGAACTCCATAACAAGCTTATCAAAATCCCATTTAATAGGACCTAGAGAAGCTAACCATTGAACCCCCAAAACCATGTGACATCCACCTAAGGGTACCAGCATAGTGTCAGCCCTGAACTCAGTATTATGTAAAGTCCATGTAAAGTGCTTACAGAGTTGTGTAGTGATCAACTTCTCCCCATTAGCTACTGAGACTTCAAGGGGATAGGATTGGGTTATTCTGCATCCCAATCTCTTAGCCGTATTTAGGTCCAGGAAATTATGTGTGCTACCCGAATCTATCAACACATTAAGGTCATATTTTTTAACCTTTCCTGTAACCTTCATGGTCTGGAATTGGTGTTGTCCAGAAATAGCATTAAGAGATATCACCGGTGAGTTTTCCATCATTACATGTTCTCTATTCCTGGTCTCTTCTCCCATTTCTTCTGCACATGAAGATTCCATAGTAAAATCTTCTTCACCAGACTCCTCTTCCATAGGAGTAATGTGAATCTTGTAAAGTTGAGCTTTACATACATGACCAGGAAAATAGGGGTCATCACAATGAAAGCATTGGTTCTTCCTTCTTCTCTCCTCAATATCCAAAGGTTGTAGGACTCTTCTTCCACTTACATAAGGTTTTTTATTGTTTGCAGCACTGGTTGAGGGCGTGGGGAGAAGTCCCCCCAATTTATTTACAGGTTGAGGCACTCTAAACCCAGAATTTCCCATAGTATCTCTAGGTTTGTGAGACCAAGTGTCCAGACCTGTTCTGCTACTTTTCTTTAGGGCATTTAAACTCTGCTCTTGTAGTCTGGCATATTCCATAGCACTAGTCAAAGTTCTAGGTTTAAATGCCTTAACAAAATGCTTGATGGTGGGGCTCAAACCACCAATAAAACTGTCCAAAAAATATTCATCGGGAAGCCTGTTGTTCCTTTGAAGCATTAAACTGCGCAGATTTTCAAATTGATTCAAGTACTCATCCAGAGAAGTAGTCTGTTGCAGTTTGTTAAACTCCTCAACAACCGTACTACCTATCTCTTCGTTGAATCTTTCACAGACATCAATTACAAACTGTTCCCAATTAACTCCTGGATTCACAGAGATGTAGCTAGTATACCAAGATTCAGCACTATTTACCATGTAAAGTGAAGCTAAATCAACCTTCTGATGATGTTCAATCTTACACAACTGAAAGTATTTAACACACTTTTGAATCCAGTTTCTAGGATTATTACCAGCAAAGGAAGGAAACTCAATCTTAGGAACAAAGCCTAAATTCCGATTAGGGTTACCTCCCTGAAATTGATGACTTCTTTCATGAGAATGTATCGAGTGATGGGAGCTATTTCCTTCGTCATCCTGTTTTTTCTGAAGAAGAAGCATTAAGGCATCCAGTTTTTCAGAAGTTTCAATAGCCTTTAATTCAGTTCTTCTAGCTTGCTCTTCCATCCGATGCTCTAATTCTGCCAGTCTGTCTTCCATAATAGCAGATAGAGTTGCTACTGTCTGTTTCTTCGCCAGGATGGAGTCGATGTCTCAAGTCAGTGGTAACAATGGCGGAATTCGAGTGCCAGGATGAAGCTCTGATACCAACTGTTATGGTTCCAGGGTGAAGCACCGAGAAAGCCAAGAAATTAGGAACTCAAAGAAAGATGAATTCGAATAGCAGGAGAGGATTTTAGGGAAGAAGAAGATGGATATTATTCAACATAACTGTTCGCATATACAATGGGCAAGCTATATACATGAGCTGAACTAATCTAACAAACTAACGGTGACACTAACAACCGCTAGGGCGTTATTCCTCTGCCAGCTCACCATTAGGTCCACTTCGACTTCATAATCCAGCTCGGCTTCCACGTAATGTAACAAAGAGCAAAGCCACAAGGGTAGATTCGGATTTCAGACTTCAAGGTTTAACTGTTGGTCTGCTGGACGAGTCGACGGCTGAAGTTGGTGACTGGTGTCATCTGCTAGTTCGCTGGAGTCTGGACAGGTGGGTTTTCCGTATTTGGGTGAGAGGCTTCAGATTGATTGTTTCCAGTTAGTGGGTTAGTGCTTCCTATATTTATATTTATTTATCCTAAAGTTCAGAACGTACAAAGGTGAGTGGTTCTTCAAGAGTGTGTTTATTGACACATTTACTTTTTCATTTTATTTACTAGTATTATGCATGTACAATGTATTAATACCAAGGACATATATGTTTGGTTTAATTATTTCGTGTTTGTTGGATGTAAATATTACCTATATTAGTAAAAATTTAATTTTTTGTTCGGCGTTTCCTTGCCGTACCCGTATCTTGATATTTTGAGTTTAGAGTTTCCCCGTCCCCGTTTCCGTCCCCGTTTCCGTTTCCGTATCCGTCCCGGTGCTACGGGTTTTGTAACACTCTAAAACCCTCCAAATGCTCAATTTTTCAGTTCCCCAAATTGGGGGATTTTGAAGGATAACTACTTAAATGACAACTTTAAATAAATATGAAGTCAACTATCTGAATGTATCATATATGTGAAGTGATTTTAATTATAACCTCTATCTTTTCAAAAATTTACTCCCAAACAAGAAGAAGAGTTTCCTCTTCTCTCCCTCCCCTTCTCTTCTATGATTAACCTTCAAAACTTTCCCCTTCCCTTCAAACTCACAAACATACTCTAAGGAATTTATATTGGAGGGCAAAACTTAAAATTTCTCTACAATACTACTTACAAATATTTATACATACGTATATACATAAATAAAACACTTGGGGGCGAGGCATCCGCCTGCCTCCCCTGTCTGACTGTCTCCACCCCTGCTTATGTGTGTTAAGATGATATGCAGCACCAATGTGACGAAAATAGACATAGCCAATAGGTATTACCTGATTCATTTTCAGTGGGAGATTCGAGATCCTGGACTGAAAAGAGAAAGAATCACACGAAACGTCGATCAAATACATGGAAAGTGGAAACAACGACTACGGAGAAGAAAGAGTACACATAAATCCAGAGAAGAGATGCGATAATACCTTCAATTAAATCTGCACTGAGCAACCGCGGGGTTAGGGTTCCTGCGTACTCAAAACGTCCAACAATGGATATTAGCAAAACAGTTTCCGCAACCGGACGAGTTGATGTGTGAGAATCTGGGGCCATGTCTCGAGGATAGTTTACATCCGTCAATTCCTTGCATGTTTATGGAAAATAGCTTTGGCGCACGTTTTCTATCCGTACACGCTACCTATTTTAACTTTACTTTATCAATGATAGATATTTCGGAAATTGACCAATGCTTTTTTTTTACCTCCGGTCGGGCGCTGGGGAGAGGTACTACTTTCAATTTTCAAACTCAAAACCTAATACTTCCCTAGGGTAGCGTATCAGAGTATTCGATACGTTCCCGTATCCGATAGTCTATGATACCCGTAATGTACGTTCTCAGGCTGTATCTGCAATTTTTTAAAAGTTTCCAATTTTTTGTAATTTTTTGAAAGTTTCCGATACTCGTATCCTGACGGATACCCGTATCAACTTTTAAAAAAAAAAATCCCAAAATTTACTTAACAAAATTCTAAATAAAAAATGAAAATCTAAAACTACATTTTACTTGGTAATCAAATAATGGGCCTATATGGCTATATCCGAATTAAGTCATTTACTCATACTCCGAATTCGGTACTTGCACTTTTAATTTCAAGATTGTAGTTGTTTGACTTATTTCTCATTTTAAATTAATAATTTATTGACTACATTTATATTTCGAGATACACTAGTGTATATGAGAAATATTATTAATTTATTACTAAGTATCTTGAAAAAGGAAAATGCTTTAATGCAATGAATGGGTATACAGCATAGGATATTGTGTGTGTGTGTGCGCGCGCGTGCGCGCGTGCGCGCGTGTGTGTGTTTGTGTGTGTGTGTGTGTGTGTGTGTGTGTGTGTGTGTGTGTGTGTGTGAACTTAATCTTAGGAGAGTAAAAAAATAGATGTGAGCCATTGGATTAACACAATTATTTTAATCAATTAGATGCTCCGTATAAGGTCACTATAGTAATTCCAATGCCTTCCCATAACCGACACCTTTTAATTTAGGAAGTGATAATATTGCTTCCATTAGGTTTTTCCTTGTCATATCTGGTTTTATTCTTCATCTCCGTCTCATCTGTTCGATTTGGTGAAAAGCCTGAAAGAAACTCATATCAAAATATCATGGATATCTTAGGGTAGAGCCGTAGAGGATCCATTGGGGATGGGTCGCTAATAGTATGGTTCCATTGAAACTCTACCAAGCTGATCGTGTTCATGTTTTACGAATCAAAACATAATACATGATTTAAACAGAGTCCAGAAACATGATGTGGCACAGCATCGATCTATCTACCAGCTCCCTCCCTCATTTTTCTGGAATCTTCGTTTGCTATTTAATCTAGTTTGTGATTTGCTTTAAAAATATTTATATATATTTACTCTTCCTACGAATCAAAATGACAAAATATTGGTTGATCAACTTTTCTTATGATTCATTGTTATTCATTAATGTTCTGGCAGATTTTAGTGCTTATAATGGTCCACTGTTTGTGATTTCAGGAATATTTAAAATGCTAGTTGTTGAATTAGATGCAATAATAAATATTTCCTATTGCACTTTTAAATATTGTTGTTGCACATTTTTTGGTTTGTAGTTTGCACTAATGTAATTTTCGTGTGTAGATTTGCACTAATAATTAGTGCATCTACATTGTCATGTAATGCATTTTACATGTTTATTATGAAATACATACATGATAGCCATCGTTTTTTAGATAATAATAATAGTAAGTTTTCAGTTAAACTTTTGACGCACTTAGCTTACTTTGCTCTTGCACTTTTCATTAATTAGTTTTTAATTTTACCCTGTTGTTAATACAGGTGAAATTGGAAGGCGACATCATGAAATATGGAACTAGTATGATGCTTTTGGAAGAAAGGTGCAGTTCATAATGTTAGAAGTGCAGATATGGATTTTTTTTTTATCGTCAAAACCGAAGATATATTATTAAGACAATAAATCGTTAGCCAGTTGGCTAGTAATACAAATAGGAGCATGATCATACTCAAAAAACTGATCTGAGATATGAACATGTGACTTAGCCAGAGCGTGAGCCGCATGATTCGCAGACCTTTTACAGAAAGAGATATTAAAAGAACTCTTTGTTGCTAACAAACTACGAATATCATCAATAATAAGATGAGTATATGCTGAGCCTTCCTGTTTCTTTAGGCTTTGTACCACCGTGAGTGCAACAGTCTCAATTTCCACCCTTGGCCAGTCCGCCTCCATAGCTCCCAAGATAGCATCTCGGATCCCCATAGCCTCGTTTCTTCAGCCGTCCATCCTGCTCTGCGTCCAACCCCTCGAGCTTTAATAACATTACCTTCCTCATCTCTGGCCACCCATCCCCAAGCCCGGATGCCCCCCGCTTGATTTACCGCTCCATCCACATTGATTTTTATCACCCCTTGCATAGGCCGTTGCCACTTGGTTGTCCCCTCTTCCGCCGATGTGTCTCCCCTGACCACCGGTTTGTCTTGGACATCCCGCCAAGCCCCAAGCATGTTGTCCGCCACCCGAATAACTATAGCGGCGTCCTCTTCTTTGTCTTTCCGAACCGCCCTGTTTCTCCTTTTCCAAATGCTCCACAACATTGCAACAAAACGGCCACAGTAATCTTTCCCTGGCTGCTCAATATTCGTTCTGACCCACTGGCCGAATGGGACCGAAAGTCCTTGCGTCCGAACTCCCACGTTCTGCCAGACGAGCTCCACTTTGGGGCAAGACCTTAAGGCATGATCATCATCCTCGTCCCTTGCCCCACACAGTTTGCAACCCCCAACTATGTTTACTCCTCTTTTTTTCAAATTATCCACAGTAGGCAGAGTACCATCCAGAGTACCATCTATCACCTGCCATGAAAAATATTTAAACTTTGGTGGAATATCCAACTCCCATAATTTCTTCCACCCTTGCCACACACCCTGCTGTAAATCACCCATCAAAATTCTATAGCAGCTTTTAACTGAAAAAATACCATTTTTCTCCCCCGCCCACCAAAAGCTATCTGATCGGTCCTGCAGACTGATTGGGATGCTCAATATTTTTTCCTTGTCTTGCGGATTAAAAATATTGCCGATTCGCTCTAGCTGCCAGTTTTCCCCCGTGTTATCTCTCAGTGCCGCCACGTTCATATCTCTGAGATTTGCCGGTTTTTCTGAAGTGATACGTCCAGTTCCCGATCCCGGAAGCCAAGCATCTGCCCACACTTGGACATCAATACCATTACCAACTCTCCTTCTAGTATTTGTTTTAATGGTCTTCCGGGTCTCAAAAATACTCCTCCAAATAAAGGAGGGATTATTTCCCAATTTAGCTTCAAGAAAAGATGAATTCGGGTAATACCTGGCACGAAGAACTCTACTCATCAGACTACCCGGTTCGGTAACTAGTCTCCATCCCTGCTTTGACAGCATAGCCAGATTAAATTCCCTTATTTTCCTGAAACCCAAACCTCCTGAAGCTTTCGGCCTGCATAAAGATTCCCATTTCCTCCACCGTAATCCTTTCTGATCAAATTTTGACCCTCTCCACCAGAAACCGTTCATTAATTTTTCCACCTCGTCACATAATTCTTTTGGCAAAAGAAAAACATTCATAGCAGCATAAGTGGGCATAGCCTGAATGACATTTCTCAATAAAACTGCTCGACCCGCTCGAGACAAAAAACGGTTATTCCAGCTTCTAATTTTATTCAGGATTCGGTCTTTCAGGTACCCCAAAATAACTGACTTATTTCTCCCAACCAACGCTGGAAGCCCCAAATAGAGGCCCTGGCCACTGTCCCTCGGAATGCCCAACTGGTTGCTACAAAAATCTTTAAAGCTCTCCCCAACGTTCTGGCTGAAAGCTAAAGTAGATTTGTTAAAATTAACCATCTGGCCTGATAGCTCTTCATACCTTGAAAGAATATTTTTGACTGCTGCACACTCAATGTTTGAGGCTTTAAAAAACAAAAAACTGTCATCTGCGAAGAAAAGATGTGAAACCCGAGGTGCTCCTCGGCAGACAGTCACCTCGTGCACCTCCCCAGAATTCTCGGCCTTCCGGAGCATAGCACTAAGCCCCTCCGCCACTAAAATAAATAAATAGGGTGATAGCGGATCTCCCTGTCTCAATCCCCTCTTTGGAATAATCGGCCCCAAGTGCTCTTTATCGAACTGGATATAATAAGACACCGTAGTAACACAGAGCATAATAATCTCCACCCACCTTGCACTAAAACCCATTCGGCCCATTATCTGCCTGAGATATTCCCAGCTAACCCTGTCATAAGTCTCACTCATATCTAACTTAAGAGCCACATATCCATCTTTACCTGTAGTCTTCCGTTTCAAATAATGTTGGGTCTCAAAGGCCACAATAATATTATCAACAATAGATCTTCCTGGAATAAAAGCACTTTGATTTTCTCCAACCAAGTTTCCCAAAATACCTTTTAGCCTATTAGCTATAATTTTAGAAAAAAATTTTATAAATTACATTGCATAAGGCAATTGGTCTCCAATCCCCCATACATTCAGGCTTATCCTTTTTAGGGATCAAAACAATGTTTGTCACATTTAGTTCACTAGGCAGCACACTTGTTTCGAAAATTTGACAACATAGCCGTGTCACCTCGGGTCCCACCACATCCCATAATTTCTGGAAAAAAGCCGGGTTCATGCCATCTGATCCCGGAGCTTTCTCAGGATGCATATCAAACACGGCAGCTTTCACCTCCTCCTGGATAACTGGTCTTAGCAGCATCAAATTTTGGCCTGCTGTAACTTGCTGCATAGGGCCAAGCTCCAGAGCAACTAGATTCTCTTCAAGTGGAATAAATTTTCAAAATAATCACTAACCATCCCGCTCACGCTGTCCCTATCGGTGACCCAAGATCCATCCTCGGCTCTTAGCCCAAGGATTTTATTTTCCCGCCGTTTTTGTTTCACCGCATTGTGAAAGAATCGGGAATTAATATCCCCTCCTTTAGCCAGAATTCTTTAGCTCTTTGTCTCCAATAGATATGTTCTTTCTCCATCAAGGATTGGATGACGGATTTGATTCTGGTGAATTCCACTAAACTGGCCGTATCTTCCCTCCCTCTCAGCCATGTCAGTCTTTGTTTGCAGGCTACTATCTGGTGGCGAAAACCTTTCGGTCGCCGACTGTCCCATCTGAGCAGCTCCTTTCCACAAAAATTAATT